TTTCAGCTTCCAGCTGGCAGTAGGCTGCATATGCAATGATATTTTCATGGCCACACCTTTCAGTAGTGAGAGCACTAACGTAAAGTACGAAGTCAGCATCTCGAACCCCTTCTTGGTCAGGTAAGCCGGTGGGTCTGCAGTGCCATTCATTCTCACTGCACATCCTGCATTGCTTTGACAATGTTCAAATGGAACAATTAAAATACTTTAGCTGTGACCAAAATTGTGCATGACAAAGTTCAATTAGCTTGAAGCCAAGAATAACTCCCATTGGAAGACAGAGGAAGATGAGAAAACTCCCTATGAAGACAGTAAACAAAACCAGAGCCAAGGAATAACTGTCAAATGCCCAGCTCTTTTGATTTATTAGACACTGGGAAGGTGGCAGCTTTTGAAAAAAGTGCCTACAAAGATAGACATCCCCAAATTTGCACATTTTATTTCCTACAAATTAAAAAATTTTTGGCTCACAGAAATAGAATACATAAGTAGCAATTGCATTTCATATGTAATCTGGTATATTTTTAATACTGTAGTTGAAACTTCAAGCTAAGAGAAGGAAAGAAATCTACTGATCACATACTGTAGTTGAATCAAAAATTCATGCAAGAAAAAAAGTTAGAAGCATTGCCTGTACCATGCTCCTGGTTCAGTGTACAACTTCTTCAAATCAGGTCTTCAAAAAATCAAAACTTATTATTAATTCTGCGAAAATCTGACTCACTGACCAAGGTGAATAATGATGTGACTTGTAGCAATTTAACAAGCTTTGAATCTCATCCCTCTGTACGGTTCATTATAACACAAGCTTAGAGAACAGTAAACAGTCCAGGTTACTTGACATTTGGTTCAACAGCATAAGCTAAAGAAACTCCCACTAACTAAAGTTGTTCTACTCTGTCACTCAGTTATATCCCACAAACAGGTCACTTAGGCAGAGTTAGAGATATTAACTTTTTTATTAATTTCCACAAACAATAGTATTTCAAAGGTTAAGAAGCACTTGGATGGCTTAGCTTACCTGGAGGTGTTTCTCAGGAACTATAACCGGCCCACACCTTGTATGGTCTGCACAGGCTCCTCGGCAGTATCTGTGAGGGTCAGCTTTCCTCCTTAGATATTGGTTTGTCACACACTGCCTTCAGTCAAACATGAAAGACAGTCAGCACTGGTTTATAATTAAAAAGAAACTGTAGGATAGTCTTACAGCACCTAAGAACACTGTAATACAGGTATTTAATGTAACTTCCATGGTGCAGGTATTTAATGTAACTTCCACGGTGAGAATTGTTAGTTACCCTGCTTTGGAAGGCACAACGCTTCCAGTTGTTAATAGAGTATCCACAAGTTCAAAGAGATTAGGAACAGGTTCATACATGGGGGTACATGTAAAAGGAAACAGGCAGCATGTATACCTTTCAAAATCTCTGACACAACAAGTGTAGACGTTGATCACAGAAGGTTGGCAGATTTGTGTGTGCTCCCTAAATAGCATCTGCTACCACTGCTGGGTCAGATGGGTCACTGGTCTGATTCAGGAAGACATTTCTTGGCCTCTTATTCTATTCTTATTTTAAAGGCTATACAACACAATGTTAAATATCAAATACAGCAAGTGATTTTCAACAAACTTTCACATACCTGCTTAGTAATATAGTACCCGTGGATTTGCGCACTTGAAATGTCTTCTCCAAATAAGATATAGCTTGTGGAAAAAGTTTGTTCTAAACAGAACAAAAATAAAAGTCACCAGTAGCAGCGCAGACATAAGTCACCTTACAAGCACTAACTACCCAGTTATGTGAAACTTGCTAGAGGCTGTGGTGTAACAGAAGAGCGGAAATCCAGACCTCCTACAAAGTTCAATTGTTATCAATATATTTAGGAAATATTTTGTTTCAGTATCCCCATATTTTGTTATTGGAATGACAAAATGAGAAGGGAGCCAGCATTAATTTGAATGTATGGCTTCCGAGAGCTTCAAAGAGGCTGAATTTATTTCAGCCCTGAATTTACTGGTTACTGGGAACTGTCCATCATAAATTTCCCTGGAGCTCCTGTCTCTCTGCAATCCTTAAGCCTGACTGCTGCACTCTCTTTTACTCCTTACTTGCACAGTATCTCAAAAAAAGCCAGAAGAGGTATTTAGAATACTCTTATAGGGCCAAAAAGGCTTTAAGAGCTATATACACACATTGCTCACTGAATCTTTGGACACTGGGATATGGCAAGCACCTGTCAAACAACATTCAAACGAATGTCGGAAGTCTTTGGAACCGAGGCATAATCTGTGCATAAAGCCTTGGTTTCCCTGACTAGAGGATATAAAATTGCTGGTATTACCAAAGCCTTAACTTCATCCACATAACAAAATATGTACAAAGAAAAGAGGAAACAAGTATGACATACCTTTATAAGGTGCCTTTTCTCAGGTAGCAAACTATATATATATATAAAAAACAAACAAGCTTTAGTTAATAGGATTTCC